GAGAGAGCTGCATATTCAATTAACAACAAGAACCTTTAGTGTGGCTACTTAAAAAGAAGAAATTGAAGAGACAATGCAGAGAAATCAAAGTGTGCCTAGCAGAAAGCTCTTACATCTCAACCAAGCCCATGGTACTCCACTGTTGAGGTATAGAACCAGTGATGATGTTACGACTGAGGTCTCTATTTAAAAGTGCAAGACAAAGTTAGTGAACTTCACCATTCCTTAAGGATACATAAATGGATGATATTGGAACATCATGCAGAGAAAAGAGTCATGGCTTCAAAACTGAGGTTTGGTTATCTTACAATATTGTGAGATACTGAAGCTTGGAAAACATTGGTGAGAGAGTACCAGACAGATTCTGACCCTTCAAGAATCTGTTTATTTAGAACATGAAATTAAAAGCAGAAACTTAGAATTTATACGGTGGTATTAACATGACCATTGTAAGAAATCCAAACAATAAATAATTACAGTACATGAAAGTATAAAGGCATCTTGTGAATCCTTAATGATATACTCTATTTTTTTGTCTGCTGTGTATTAAACAAAAACTACAAACTCAATTACCTGTTTTGTTGAAAACCAAACGCGTTTTTCTTTTTCTTATTTCTTGAACTTGTTAACTTTCCCCTAAAAACATATTCTGTTAAGTACCAAAAGTAAAGTATATTTCTTGTCTTTGAACGGTTTTGTGACACTAGTAATGATTCGTACCGCTACAGTAAAGCTTTACCCGTTCTCTGAATATTTTAAAGAATCATCAAAATACTTTTTTACCAGACACAGTTTCTTGTAACAAATAAACAAACAGATTGAAGCAAAAACATGAACGTATATATAGCCTCAAAGATGAAAATTTAGAATTTACAGTATAGTGACAAGAAAAAATAATAAAAATTTGTTGCTACCCACACAAAAAAAGACAATAATAATAAAGACAGAGACAGCACATCCTTTTCTTTTTGTTTTCAAAGTCAAAGATTTGCAACTTGCATCGTTGTGCTGTCGAGACCCTAGTTTTTTCAAACATGAGTTTTTGTGTATTAATGAGTTGGTTAGTCGAACATGAAAAAAAAGATTAAATTATACATGGTAGCATATAGAATTTTTGTCATTTACTTATTTTTAAAAAAACTTTCTCAATTATTTTAAAAGTAATGTCCAATCCAAGAACCATTTTGCTCTTCTCATGAAGACGAACGCGTTATTTTGACGAACCACAACCACGAATGTGCATGACTAAGATTCACCATAGTTTAGCAAAAGCAGAATATGCATACGAAACATTGGAACTATTCATGATAAAGAGAAAAGTATAGTAGGAAAACACCCATTACCCTGTTCTTCTCTTCTTTAATTTAAATAGGTTCTCGAATCCAGCAAAGAAAACAGCATTTTTTCACAAATGAACAACTTTTTTCTTTAAAAGATAATCAGTAACTACACGTGAAGGTTTGGTGGTAACTTTAGGAGCTGTCTGTAGTAAGAACAAACATATTTGAAGCAATATGAGAAGTAGAAGAAAGTTATGTTCATCGTCCCCCGAGTGTACACGTGATTCCATGTGATTATCTTCCATAATTTAAGCTCTTGAAAACACAAAGAATCTATTGGGACTGGAACAAAAATTGATTGAAACAATAGAGAGAGAGAGAGAGAGAGAGAGAGATTTACATGCTTACAACATGGCAAGAAGTGTTGTTATTGAAGGAACAATCACACATCACAGTGCTCTGAAAGCCTTTCCTATCATCAGAAACATTCCAACTCCCTTTTCCACTGCAAGGATCCACTCCAAAGTCCCAATCTTTCTTCCCAATCTTGCTCCCTATCTCCTTCAGTGCCTTCACTGCACACAATTCAAACAATCAACTTCACCAATCAGAAAAAAAAAAAA